TTATAAGTCGTGAATTTCCAGTATCTTCGTCTAGCTCTTTTTCACTGTACGTACGTTATAATTAAAAATTTTCCTAAAATTCGTTAACATTAATTAGTTCTAATCAATTTCCAATGAATATGTTTAGGATTATCATATTGTTGGGATTGATTTTGTACTGTCTTAAGTTTAAGAATATCTAGTTGTGAGAGAATAAATAACTGCTTCGTAATTAAACAATAATACATAAAAGATTTTTAAATGCTTTCTAGAACGCTTTCAGTCAACAACTACAGCCAAAATAGCTGGAATGAACTTAACAGATTTTACTTTCAACAGAAAACTTGGACTGAACTGGCTAAAAACTCCACTATCTACTAGAGAGTTTTCTGCTCTATCTCTTACATGAATTGTTAGTCACTAAATTAATTAATTAGAAATTACGAAAAGTAAAAGACATAGTCATTTTTTCATTTTTCTTCTTTGGCATAATTTTGATAACGCAGCTATTTTTCATGGGGTAATTATGATACTTTCGTGTAAATCCCACGGATAGATAGAAAAAGTCTTCCCCGTCTCTCAGAAGCCAATTTCAATGCTATACTAAATGACAAAGTTGTTCAGAATCCTACAATCAATCGCATAAGTGAAAATTGAGAAAATAAAGAGTATTTTCAACGAGTAATGGACATAAAATAGAGCTGGAGTATTTTAGACGTATTTGTGTGCATGAAAATTAGTAGAACAATTAAGCTCCAACCTAAATTAGCAGTTAGATGATCAATAATTGAAACTTTTCATGGAATAAGTGCAATGCAAATTCGTCATGGCGGTAGCAAAGGCACATTATGTGTTAAGCCAGTATTAGATGATGAGAAATACGAGGTTGTTATACGAAATAGTATGAAAAAATTTGAGACTGACTACTGTATATTGGAAATATGCAAACTATCATCGCCAAGTAAGTTAGAATATTAACATTTTATAGAATGAAGCTTATTTATGAATCCGTTTCAGGACCACTTTATTTAAATCGTCAAGACATTATATTGTTGTCTCATTGTAGTATTCCCGATTCAAATTTTTTTGTTTTACAAAAATATGAAAAGGTATTTGTCACGGTCAGTGTTGGGTAAGTTAACAAACCACTTCTAAAAAATATACATAGACATAACACGTATTCCCTTCGTATTTTTATTCAATAAATGATAGATGTAAATTTAAAATAAAATGAACGTTTTCTTTTCTACAAAAGGTTAAAAAGACAGAGAAAGGGGAAAACAATTAACAGTGTGTAAGTGTGTGAGAAAACGGTTTTAAAACATGTGTGTAACGTACGTTGCATATTATAGGTAAATTATATCGTTTATCACGTTGAAGGATTCCTAACTGGAATAAGCTTCTACATCATGGATCACACGCAAAGAAAGTCCAAAGCGAAGGAGGGTGTGAGGAGTTTTCGAAATAGGCTCTACGGGAAAAAGATCATAGATTTTGACAGTTCCGAAAATCTTTGAGTTTTTTTACAAAATAGATGGTCGACTCCCTTTTGATCTACAAACGCCAAATGTAATTGTGATAATCGTCCAAGACAATTTTGTTCAGAAATATTCAATACAAAGTTGTTAATATCATCTCGTGTAATCGGCGGGTTTTGGGGTTCCGGAGACACCTGAGAATCATAGTCAAATGGCTCAGAATTCTTCGTCTTGGATACAAGATCTTTGTGCCATATCACAGCATATTCATCTCCTTAAATAAAACAGAAAATCAATTGTTATTTGCTTCTTTCTCTAACCGTGACATCGGTGTTTTAATTTGGTTTTTATAAAGACTCAAAACAGTGTTCACTGACGAGCTAGTAATATGGGTAACTATCTAAGCATAGTTGAAAGTACGAGTTTGTTTTGCCATACGGATAGGGCGATAAAGTTTTTCTTTTTTCCTATTATAGACTGAAAATATCAGTATTGTTCCTCATTTGATGGAATTTTGTAGGAGAGATTTTACAAAGTAAAACTACCATCCATTTCAAGGTAGAATACTCTATCGCAGTGAAAAGTAACTTACTTAGTTAGTTTGACTAACTTTTCAATGAGGAGAGATACCAATGTAAAATTCTCACCAAAAGTGAATACCTCAAGAAGTCTTTGGCAACATGAAGTTTCTTCATAACCCTTTTTTATAGTATGTATTAGGGGATGTTTGAAAAACAGCATCATAGCTCGAAGAAGTTTCATAAAGATACTGTGGTATTTTTCGTGAGTAGATAGCTGAAACTGTTCTGTTCGAAATAGTAGTAA